CACAGAGCAGTCCCTGCCAGCTCACTGGCTGAAGTGTTCCACCTGCACAGGTAGGGCCTGGCACAGAGCAGTCCCTGCCAGCTCACTGGCTGACATCCTCCAGCTAGTCTGATAGAAAACCCTGCCTCTCCTTGTTTCAGATGTTGGGGAGATGGCCCAGCCAGAATCAGAATCAGAATCTGGGAATTCTGTTGACAAAAAAAACGTACTGTAACAATAGCTCAGTTTATCAAATGTTTGCAAGGTTACCTGCTTTCTATTTTATGTATCCCAACACTACAAACCACAAAATAAGAATATCAGGAGAAACCCTGAATATATAGGCAAATGACTGAGGTCAAAGGTCTTGCATGGCAAAGTCCAGGAGTGGTCAGTCCTGGTCCATGGAGAGCTACAGTGCGGTGAGCTTTATTTGTAAACTCTAAATCCGTCATTCTCAAACACTCGGAACCACTTTGTTTTCACCTGTACTGGTGAAATGTTCCATTAAGCTGCCTGGAGATCATTTGAAGTGAAAATACTAATGTGCTACAACTCCTTTAAACACAGCTGGGCCATTCCTGTCCGAAATGAACCAATAAGAAACTGATTAAATCAAAACTCATGTATTCCTAATGGATGACCTAGTTGTAACTTAAAGCACCTGCTGGAATGTGGCTCTACAGGACGAGGGGTGGCCACCCCTGACATTGACAAAGAAACTGAAGTTCAAAACTCCCAACTCCCTCTTATTATATTATTGCAGTACCTTAATAATAGTGGAATTGCCCAGGTTTCCCCCAAAAAACCTCCACACCTATGTTATAACTATCAGCTATCTGCACAAACATCTTCCTTGGACCATACATGATGCACCCATTGTAGCAGTGATGTGTTTGTGTATGCTGCCTTTGGTGCTTGGTGTTGTGCGTCACATTTTTTATCAGCTTGTATCGCATCAGAACTTCTGCGTTACATCTGCTTCTCTGTCCTGCTTCCAGGTAAACAGCAAGTGAAAGAAAACTGCACAGCAGACAAGAACACCGTGTGCACGTGTGTGGAGGGGTACCGCTGTGGAGATGAGCATTGCTCATACTGCGTCAAGGAGTGTGGGAAGGGCGAGGAGCCAGTTAAAAGTAAGGACCCACCATCCCTGTCAATGTATCCCACAAAACTATTATTATTGGTCATAATAACAAAATTGTACCTTACCCTCAGATATTATTCAGTTATAAACAGACCAACAAGAATGCTTAAAAAGTTGTGTTCTGAAAACACTGCATTTATTGCACTTGGTAACAAAGGGAAAACAAACTGTCATTACAAAATAAAAAGCATTTCATTTGCCCAGAGGGCTCTTAATGTAGTGTCCTGGAGGTCCTGAACTTGGGGCAAAAGCTTTGTAAATGTAGTCAGGAGAAAGTGGATGAAATAGCTACAGGACTCTTGGAATCCAGCAGGATTGCGATAGCTGAGAGACTAGCCTTGCAGAAGCTCTCCGGACCCTCATGTGGTCATGCTAGGTGACGTGATGACGCAGTGCCTGTCGGCCCTCGTGTCCACTCTCCGAGAGGGCAGCTGGAGACGGGCCTCGGGCCCTTCTCGAGTTGACCAGAGCAGGAAACAGAAGGGCAGTAGTAATCTAGCGCGAGGCACAGAGCCCACGGGTCTCCTTCACGGCGCTTGTTACACAGGCTCTGCGCTCCCACTGGTTAAGGGGGGGGTCGACGCTGAGGAAAGTTTGCACAGCAAAAGGGGGGGGAGAAAAGCGTCCTCTACCCTTATCACTCTTGCACGCGTCACATCACACGAGGGCGCAGGGAAATCACGTGGTCGGGAAGGCAGGGAACCGAAAATGAGAAAAATTCCTTGATGCTTCACGGTTACTTTGCGGTGGCAGAAATGCGCTGCCAAGCTGCTCCAGACGCGGGATGAGGGCCGCTGGCTCTGTGGGGGCCGGGCCCGGGTGAGCACTAACTCTCTGTGTCTTTGTGCGCAGGGACCTGCCAGCCTTGTCCCCACGGGACCTTCAACGACCAGATGCATAGGGAGTGCAGGAAATGGTCCCAGAGGTAAGTCCCAGAGAAATGCAGTCAAGCCCCCAGTTCAGACAAGGGCACTCAGATACTAACTGGACGAGACTTGTTTCCTACCAGCATGTAGTGCCATCTAGGCAAAAGAATATACCCGCCCACCTTTAAAGACCGAATCACCTGAGCTGAGCTCCATCAGAGAGCAGATGACACTGCTGCTGTACCCTTGAGGATACTGGGCTTAGATTGCTCTTGTAAAAGCCCTGCTGTATCAATGTTCCCCAGGTCATCACTGGAAACCATCACTTGTTCTCAATTTGCCTGCCTAGTAATGTACTGTAGATGTAGTAATGTACGTGGTAATGTAGACGCCTTTATCCGTAGTAAAGTGCCTATCTGGGAATGCAGGCACCTGGTGATTCAGTGCATTTAATGGTGAGAACAGGTGGAGCAAGTTACTTGGCCTTGTTGTTAAAGCTGATACCCTGTTTCTTTTTTTTTTTTCAAGAAATGGCTGGATGAGATCCTTTAAGATCCATAAGATCAATTAACTGCTAACGACCAAACTTCGGTCTAGATGGGCCAAATGGCTTCTTTTCGTTTGGAACCTTTCTTACATTCTTGTGTAGAAATAAAGGAAGAAAATGAAGCTTTGGTCGGTTGAATGTGCTGTGTTGTCCATGAAGCCACCAAACGGAGGCAAAAGCACAGTTAGAAAAGAGTTTACTGGAGCTGCCAGGGGTTGGGGCAGAAAGACACACCTCACAGGGCAGGCTGAACCCCGATATCCAGGACTCCCCGGGAGAGGCGCCCCTCCTCCCTACTGGTGCAGGGGTCGTGGTGCCGAGTTCGGCAGTTCTGGACAGGGCGGTGTTTGGCAATTCCCGATTAAAAACCTATACGAAATTCTCTTTTTTTTTCCCTCCAAAACGTATAGTAGCAATCGGAATATCCGTTAAAGGGTAAAGGATCACGAGGAGGCTGGGAATGTTTGCTGTGGGAGGACTGCATGCACGTGCCGCTGTCCTGTGAAGTACAGAGACTGAGATGAGAGCAGTGCTCATCTCGGCAGTAAGTGCTGTCCTTATTGGCGTGACCGATTCCTCCCTGATCTCTGGCTCTTCCAGCTGCAATAATAGCCAGGTGATTGTTCAAGAAGGCACGGACAAGACTGACATTGTGTGCGGACCCCCTCCAGTCACAGTGATGTCGACGGCCAGTCCCAGCATCATCACCCTGCCTTCAATCCCAAGACCAGGTGAGGCTCTTAGATTGCGCCAGTGTCCAAGCTTTTAAACTGGCTTCCAAACGCCTGCAGGAAATATCCGTGTGTAGGACACCATCGGTGCTTCTAACCTGCCCGCTTCAGTCAATGTTAAAAATGAACTCAGGCTTGCATGCTTGTATAAACTGCTCCCTGCCTCCTAGCCCTACGATCTATGCAGTGTTTATGAGCTATTCTGTCTGTTCAAATTTAGCTTTTTTTATAGTTCTGTGTATATTTTGTAGATGCAATACCGGGATGTTACTGATTCGCCAATGGCATTTATACTCTTTCGTTCCTGTTCTGATTTCGCGAATTGCCGGTCTGTTTCCTTGGAGTTCAGGTCGGGCCTGACAGCCCTCCCAAGGGCACTGTAGCTTGTCCAATGACAAAGGGCTCCGACAGGTGACCACCTCTGAGCATCGTGTTCACATTCTCCCGCTGCAGTACAGGTGTGGAAACAAACCGAGCTGATTAAGGATCGTCCATTTCAAAGTGAGAAGGCTAAATAGGATTAAAAAAAAAAAAAATTGGCCGTTGCAAATTGGAAAAGAAATCTTTTAATGGTTTGCCCTACTCACCAGGCATGAAGGAAATTGCAGGTCCTAATTCCCAGTTCCTGTCCCTGGCATGGAGAAAAATACTTGTCCTGTTCACAGACCGCTGAGGCAGACTCTAAACCAAGAGTAACCGCAGCTACAAGGAGCGTAGGGAGATCAAACAGAACCGAAAACGTGAGCGTTGCCTGACTGATATAGCATTCCCATGTGGTGTTATACAAACACAGATATCTAGGAACACACAAGGAGTCGCTCGGTCTTTTCATTCGTTCGGTGACTTTCACTAGAGCTGATTGCGCAGCCGTTAGGATGTTGCACTTACTGAGCAGTTTCACTCTTGCTGGAAGTCAAAAGGTTAATCTGATTGTGGTTTCTCTGGTTTTTCTTGTGGGGTTGTGGAAACTGGAAGTCTCTTGCTCTTTAATGAACCCCGGAAGGACGAGCTTGAACGGTGATGCTTTCAAGAATTCTGCAGCGCCGGTTGGGAAAGGGGAAGAGAGGGCATCAGGCCAAGCGTGAATGGGCTCAGGCTGCGCCGAGTTCCACAGACACAAAGAAGGCTCCGTTTGCTCAGACATGAACAGAATTCAGGGCAAAACCCCAGTTGTTGCAAGACACTCTTCCCAATAATTTCAGGTGTAGCAAGCTGCAAGTTACTTTATATAAGACAACACACATTCCCAGATACTTATTGCATGTCTGACTATTTTGAACTTAGTTGCAGTTAAAATAATATAATTGATTTTTTTTTTACAGCATGATTCGTATAGTCCTGCACTGTTTGTACAAGAGTCTGCAGTGTAGAGAAAATGAAACAGATCAGAATGTTAAGCAGTAGGGGGTTTGTTTCACTTGCCTGACTTATAATGTGTCCCACCTGCTTTCTACACAAAAATAAGGTGTTGTGGCCAAAGCAGTTCAGAGTGGTGGGTGATCACTGCTGTCCGGAGGTTACCGATTCAAAATTCAAGGCTGGTCCACTTTGGTGTTGTGCCATTGGACCAAGTGGCCAGCCATGACAGCTGATGCCAAAGCTGTTCGAAATTCATTGCCAGGAGGTCAGCAGTGTAGCTGCACTCACAACTTCGGTGAACTGGGCGGGTGTAAACAGGCCAGAAGCAGAATTGGATGTGGGGCTGAAGGACCGCCTTTGATCTTCAGTCCTTGCTGACTCATGGGCTGGAGTACAATTTCTCCTCATTCCTCTGTGTCATTTTCATGACTTGATGAATGACGCTTTCTCTGCTCTTTTATGTTCGCCAGTGCGGTTTCGTACAGCAGAATAACCTCACAACCTCCGATTTGCAGGATCAGATGCACACACTTGCGTAAGATCAGCCTCCCTCTGTCCTAGTTGTTTAGAAACTTGTTGGGTTTGCAGGTGGAGCTCGTTCCTGTGCAGACAGCTTCCTCACAACTTGCAAGCATTCTCTTTCCTAGAATGAGTCAGGCTACTGAAACTAGGACAGCCCAAGTCATCATTTTTCATTCTTTTAACGAGACAAATTAAGTAATATACTCACTATACTCAGCATAAAAGTCCAGGAAGAATAATGCACAAACATTGAGAGTGCAGAGGGGTGAATTTTTGTGGTGGCGACGTATACTCCTCTCTCACTATCTGGCAGCAGAACAAACAGAACGGGATATAGAATGGGAGTTCAGTTCATTTACAACCATATCCCACGCAGTGCATTACACAAGCTAGCATTTTTACAAGATTGCAGATTTTACAGTTGGATGCTTTTACATTGTGCAACTGCTGATGCAGAAAGTCTATTTTTATCACCGTCATGACTCAGCTTACAATTTAAATTAGTTTTCTGGGTTTTGAAATGCCTGGTATAAGGCCTTATCTTACAAGACTAGCCTGATACCAGACGGATTCCAGAAACTAACTCCCAACTGTGTGCACTCTTGCATTGCACAACAGAGTGGTGTTGAAAGACATTTGAGCTAAGTCAATGTGCGTGCCCTTATGTGCCCTCAATGACGGGGGTTGTTGCTGTCTGGTTTGCCCCACTTATACCCCAGGAACCTGCTTTCTCGCCAGGAAACCTCTGCCCTGGGCCGTGATCCTAGTCAGAGCCCTTTGTACAGAGATGGAGAAGCTCTTGGGTCCATGTCAGATTTGCTGTGCGGCAGGTTCTTACGGACATAAGAACTTAAGAAAGTAGAAATGAGAGGAGGCACAACTTGTGTTTTTGTCTTGTTTAGCAACCCTAGCAGGAACCTTTCAGAGGTTCTGCTTTTGCAGGGTGTCCAGGCAGTTTGTTCTAGACTGCTGTGGCCCGTGTAAGGAAGTGTCTCTGTCCTGAAAGCTCCTGGTCATCATGCCCCCTCCTGTGTCCTTGGTCCTTGTGTCATTTTTCATCTAGAAAACATCCTCTTGATTAACTTGGTCAGTCGCATGAGGCTATTATTAGTCTGTTTGGAAAACCTCAAAAACTCTGCCAATTCTTGTGCTCTGTCCTAAGCAGTCTGGGCATGCAGGACTGAATTCTGTCTGTGGTATGTGTGCAGTGTGTCCCCGATTGTGTGTATGATTGTGTACGCTGTGGCAGCAGTGTGTGTGTGTGTGATATCTGTGTCATGTGTGTACGCTGTGGCAGCAGTGTGTGTGTGTGTGATATCTGTGTCATGTGTGTATGCTGTGGCAGCGGTGTCATGCTAAGTCTGTGTGTTTTATTGCAGATGGAACAGAGAGACTCGCAGCCCTGATAGCAGCCATGTGTCTGGGCCTGGGCGCCTTCATCATGGTCACCATCTGCATCCTGGCCAACCGCAGGAAAGGCAGCAAGGAGCCCCTGCCAGGTGAGGCCTCTCTTTCCCGCGGCGCCGTGTCAGATCAGCGTGTCCTTCCACAGCAAGCCCCCGCCCTGCCGCGGCCACCTGACCGCTGTGTAACGTGGCCTCTCTCTCGCCCTCCCGCTGCAGAGTCTTCCCAGCGTGCCGTGCGAGAGGAGGAGGACTGCTGCAGCTGCCACGGCCCCCAGCAGGAGCAGGGCAGCAGCATGGAGTCGGTGGACTCCGAGACCAAGCTGGTGTGACGGGGCGAGGCTGGCAGGGACCAAGTGGGCAAACTGGAATTTCTCCCCGCCCCCTTCCACTGTCCTTACTGGGTCGAGCTGGGCTGTGCGTCAGGGAGCAAGGTCGAGGTAGATCCGGACCAGACGTGTGTGTGCGCGTGCGTGCGTGCGTGCGTGTTTCCTCACTGATGTGGCAGGTGACCGTGTTCCAGCCACGAGTTTCACAGGTTGAGCTTGGGCTACACCATGCGCCACACCTTATGGACTTCCTCGTACCGGCTCTGTCTGGACAGCTTGTATGCAGGATTGGTGCTTCTACCTGATCCTTTCAGGTCAAGAGAATTGCTCTGTGGACAGTGGGCGGGGAGATTCAACAGGATTTCAGAATTGTTCAGCTTGTGTTCCTGTGCAGTAGGGGGTGGGGTAAGAGTTCCTGCTGGTAGTACTGAACTCCTCTAATATTTATTGCAATACTAATGTAGCCAAAAAATGTACCCTGTCTTCTTCTCCTCTCCTGGAGGGCGGCTGTGTCCACAGGTTTTCACTGCAGCTCGGCTCTTAACCAGGCATTCGACCTCATTCCTGGCCTCGGTAGAGCAGTGCAGCAGCTGCTCCTAGCTCTTCAGGAGCTGCTCATTTATAGCAAGATAGAAATCCTGCAGGACTGAATCCCAGTCCTGGAGGTGGGCAGCCCTGTTTTAGGAGTGTTACTGGGGACTTTGACTCTTGACTGGTGCTTCTTACAATTTACAGTTTAAAAGGCATAAGCAGTCAGCTACCCTGAAGCAGAGTTGCCCATAACAGATGAAACCATCTTCTTCACGTGCTGAATTTATTTAAGAAACTGCGCTGTCGTACTTTAATGTGCTTTGGACTCCCTTATTCCACATTCAAGGGCACAACATAAAGTTTTGTAAGTTCATGCATTTGCATTTGCATTTGAAACACTGTGAATTTTGACATGCCAGTACCACTCACTAAGGATTTAATCAGCCACAACCAGCAAAGATAAGCCTGATTCCAATTTTAATTACCAGCCAGTTAAATGAGAAGCAGTTTTTTTAATCATTTGTTGTATAAGGTAGACTTTCTCCTGTCCTTAGTGTAGGAACATCCGTCCTTTCTGAGAGTCCTAGCTGAGTTCCTAACCTGCATTCCAAAGGCACACGAGTCCAGAAGCTCTGTAGTTAAAGTTCAATGTACTGAATGCCTGTCCTGACCCTGACATTCTAATTATTGTTTTAAGTGGAGTAACGTTTGGATAATGGCCGAGACCCTCGATGTGCTGATTAAATCGTTTTTCGACTTGATGGACCCTGTTCATCAGGGTGTGACCTTCTGGTTACTGCCACCTCACAACTGTGAGCAGGAGGAGGAGTAGAGAAAACCACGAACAGGCGAGTTTGGGTAGAGCTGTGGGGGGGAAAAAGAAGTCTCGAGCACAGCTTAAAACTTCGTATCACCATTTCAGATAAACCACACCTCACAGTTTTGTTGTGCATCCTGCTGAGACACTATCTCATTTCTGAGTGTGGTGATTAACACTGCAGCACCTAACTGTATTTTTATCACTTTGTCTACTACGGGGAAGGAGCTGATAAAGTATCTCTGTAGGTACTGCGAGGAAAGCATAGTCGTCCTACAAGTTTTACTGGATTGGAAATGGAGTTTCCACTTTTCTAAGTACTATAAATCAGGGTTAAGACAAAGGCGTCAAGAAATTGAAAATGTGAGCTATTAATAGAATGTGTACTATTCAGTGGTGGGTTTTTTTTAAGAGGCGGGGAATGTCTCAGTTTTGCACTGCACTGAAAAAAGGAAAGCTTGATCAGTACACTGTTTCCAGTCAGAGCTACATGTCTTGTCAATACCCTGAAGCCATCAGCCGAGCGCAGGGCTGGCTGTTGGCGCTGCCAGCCTTCCCGCTGCCCTGTCAGCTCAGCACGTGCGCAGGCAGCGCTGGGGTGGGCGGGGAAGCTGGAAACCACAAGCCGTCTCCTCAGCGCGAAGGCTTCCTGGCTCTGCGTCACATTCGCCCGTGCATTTCAGCATTCCTGAAACACGCCCTGGGGCTGGGGTTCCCCCTGAGCACGGACACGGGGCTCCGGCCATGTTCCGGAGGGGACTCCTTTCTGAGGGATGTTTTGGTGATGATTGGACGCTGAAGTGTCAGGGTGTTTAGCCACGGTTAAATGAGGGATACCTCCACTGACCGAAAGGGGCAGCTGGCTTATGATTGGAGAACCGGAACAGAAGTGCCAGGAATGGTCACCATTTCCTGCAAATCTGAGGGTTGGAATCTGGATGGGTCTGCAGGTAGTTGTGCAAGATCTACAACCGAGTGAAATGTAATGGACAGAAGCGTCGTACACAAGCGTTGTTTTTCCAATTACTCGTCACGGGAGCAATTCCCAACTGTAGCCGCACAGAAGCTTGACAGGGCATGACACTCATGCAGATGGCAGACAGTTACACAATGGGATTGTATTAGGACAGGCCTCTGGTTGTTCAGAACAGGTTGTTCTGTATTACCCTCCAGGTGTGGGGTTTGGGTTTCAGCCCTGTTGTACAAGCAGGAAATGACACTTTGGAATACACTTACAGTATTACAGCTCATAATGCGATTTCCCCACTTATCCTCATGTGAAACCTAATCCATCCTGAGCACAACACGTCTTAGATCTTGGACAGAGACGGGAAGAGTTTTTCCACAAGTGAATCTTAAACAAGCTGAGCATATGGAGCTTTTCAGGGCAGCTGTAACAGCCGATAGCCTCCCCTAATGAAGAATAGCGAATGCAGGGATGACGAGCTGGAGTTTCTTTCAGACATTACATCCCAAAGGATTCCAGACTGCTCCACGGGTAGGAGAGGGCCAGGAAAGTATACCCTCTGACCTGGTGCACTTAAGACTGTGGCTGTCAAGTAATATGCAGTAAAAGTGTACTTAACAGACATTCCAAGACCAGAAGACATCATGCCTGAGTGTACTTTTTTTTAAATCGAAACATAATCTAGTATTTAAGACAGACAGCAGCTGAAGAGGAAATGAGTGAAAATGTCAGGCAAAATGTACTACTTTTAAAGTGATGTTGTGCAATAGTTTATTGAATTTAAGATTCACCAGAATTTCTCTGTTGTGGGGGTGTCTGGAAGCAGGGCTGTTCCTGTGGAAATTTACCACAAAGTGGAATATATTTGAGTTTTTATGTTGCAACTGTGATGTTTATACAAGTTTTGAGTTTACCTTATTTTGAGGGAAACTACTGTAAGACTTAATACAAACGGTCACTTTCAAGACAGACTTGGTGTTGCCATCACTACTTGTGAAATATTTGGTGGTATTTCATTTAGTAGTGTAGAACATATGACTGAGTTTTAGTGTATTTTTGTAAAAACAAATTGTGAACATTAACTAAACACTGGCAAAATAAACTACTGTTTGATATACGTTTAAATTTACATAAACTCTAGCCCTTGAAATAGAGTTGCATACTGAGCTACATTAAAAATACAAATGCACTTGGTTCAGGCATTTTTGATGCTTCTCAGACTACGCTAGTCTTGACAAGCTTGAAAGCACAATGTTATAATTTTGTAGTTTTGTAATACATTGTGAAGTGAGATAATGTAAAAAGTTACCAGGTTGTAGCTCATAAAATAAGCCACTATCTGTGGCAAAAAAATGGCACTTAGCAGGAAAATCATCCATGTTTTTGTATAAACCTATTGTATTGTGTATGTCTGTGTTGATACATGTAAATGTTTCTGCCATGATGTGTAAAATATTTTCAATCATAGCTATTATATACATTTTATAGAGCTGAGTTTTGCTACAACATGAAAGTATCAATGTCTGTTTTTGGATTCTGAATTACTTTTACTTTCAGCATATTTTTAAAAAAATATTTTTATACAAAAGAGTATTCAATTTATTTCTACAAAGGATACAAATAAACTGCATTGGTTTTTAAACCCGAGTGGGTGCATTTATTTTGGATGATGGAATTTTCTTTGAAGATGGATAGATAGGTACTGTAAGACTTTATTGATCCCGAAGGGAAACTGATGATTTCCCTTCAACCCATTAAACACCTTGGTGCTTCTGGGGAGGTCTCTACCCCTGGTCCTGAAAGCCTTGATCCAACTTAATCACCAATTTAGTTGAAGGAGTGAGATCGACTTCATTGATTTGAGTTGCTAAGAAGTCATAAGGGAGTACCCTTCATCCCACAATGATCTGCTTTCCGTTACTTGAACAGACTGCTTGCTTAGTTACCGAACTCACAGGTCTGCCCAAGCTCTGGGACCAGGAGATCCATAAGACTGACAGGACTGGGCTCTCCAGGAGCAGGCTGGAGCCCTCTTTTTAACCCCCTTTTACACTAGCAATAAAACCGCTCATAACAGGATTATCCCACCCATCTTCTTGGGAAACCTGATCCATGCTGAATGCAGTGATTCTCAGGTGATAAGAGTGAACCATAAACAAGCTCTGACCTGGTGCACTTAAAAACACAATGGCTGTTAAGGAATATACAGTATTAGTGTACACAACAGATAGTCCAAGACCAGAAGTAAGACATCCTGCCTGAATCAATCATCACTCCCCTCTCCTGGTTCTTCAGCCCAGTTTCTGTACCTCAGTTTGCATTGCTTTGGATAATCACTGCAGAGTTTAATGCAGAACCCCACTGTTTTTGTTACCTGGTGCAGCTGGAGAATGAAGAAATTCTGGCTTCTCCGAAAATTCAGACACTCATAACATCGCCAAGCCACTTGCTGCAACTGTCTTTAATTGTAATACAGAATAATACAGCGACAGCCTGACTCCAAAATAAACTGAAACAATACAAAAACAAGCAACTAAAAAAAGCAGAATAAAGCACTTGATTTAGTTTCAAATGGATTCTATAATTGCATGTTTTCACAGTTTGCCCAAAAGTTAACACAGGGTGGGCCCATTTCCGCCGTTTCCACGGAAACGGGCCAACCAAAACTGAGGCTCTCTGTCGCCCGCCCTTGTCACACAGCAGGCCGGCTGCCCTGACTTCTGAAGGCTGCACCCGCGCTCCAAAAATGAAAAATAAAAAGCAAATTCAAGCCCGATTAGTCCAATATCGTGCTTCATCTATCTGAACATACACTCAGGTCAGGGCTAAGGTTCAGAAAACATCCGCTAGGGAACACAGTGATCCACAAATATAAAAAACAAAACCAGGGAGACACTACTACTGGGCATTTCAATTCAATGAGGCATTGAAAGGGACTGAGTGAAACTCCCCTTGCCCTTTGTAGCAGGTAAATTCAGCTACTTTCCCAAAACTGTATGAAACTAGTTCCTTTCATGCTTTTCTTCTTTATCGCAACACAACACAACCCAGATCTCATGACAGGGGGAACAGTGGAGCTGTGTTTCGAAGGCCTCAGCTCATTGCCATTCAAGTGCACTTGTGCAAACGCCCCGTGACTAACTCCCGGGCACACCCCAGAGCAGCCTCACCAACACGTCCAGAGCTTGCGACGGCCTGTTAGCTGGTCTTGAGCTCATTTGATCCAATGCTTTATAGAAAGAGGAGATAGGAGATTGGAGTCTACTGCATGATGCTTTGTGGGCAAAATGGTAGGTTTTTGTTCTTCGTGAGCTAAATGAGGTGAGGCCTTTGAAATCTAACTTTAACCTTTTCCATTTACCTGTACTTCTGAGGTGGCTTGTTCCAGAGGTCTCGGTTTAGCTGGAGTTACAAGCTCTAGAAAGGTGGAAATGCGACTGCAATGGATGACAACACAGCAAAACGCATCTTTTAAACACGTTTGGATGCATAATTGACCCCCTGCAACCTGGCTACTGCAGATCTCCACTCCAGAGCCTGCTAGAGCCCCTAACTAAAAGAGGATTTCAAGTCGGGGGCTCTTCAGACTGTACACCCACTGCAAGTCAAAGCAGTTTTTAGATTAATGACGACAGTAATGGGCTATTATAAGAAACATAAAAACATAAAAATTCAACCCATACAATTCTATTACCATAGAAAAAATTAAATATTAGTGTCATCCCAAAGTAAAAAAAAAAAAGCTATACTATACAGTTCAGTGACTATTTCAAAATCTCTCTAGTGCGGTCAATAACAAAGTAAAACAGTTCTTTCTACAGATAATGCCTGTTAACACTGGTAACTGGGGACATACAGCAACTGCAGAAGGTAAGGCTACAGCGTGCATTTATTAGATGTATTGCAGAGTGCTGCTGCTACATTTTCCTGAAAGGAAGAGCTTGAAGGCTGTCTATAGATGCCGTTAATGCATACCCGGACAGCTACTGTACCATTGAAGTAGCAGGTCTGTAGAATCTCCGGAGTCCAGTTCAGTCCTGTAATCCTCTTTTCTGTGGATGATGTCCAGCAGGAGATGCTGTTTCAGACAGGCAGCTGGCACGGCCCCGTGCCCTATCGGGAAACGAGCATCTGTGCTCTGCCCTCCGCCGCCGAGACGGCACCGAGCGCTCCCTTTCAGTCCCGTCTCCCCCCCACGGCCATGAAGCTCAGCCCTGGACTTCCTCGGTCAGGGCCGACTGTCCACAGAAACACTGGCCTCGAAAAGAGGCACGGAGCGTCTCGTGCGTTCTGGCTCTGGGCTTGCACAAGGGCCACGTTCCCCGGAGATCACCAGTAAAAGCAATTCAGGACCACGGAGAAAGAGAGGAAGGTGTGGGGGGGGGGGCTCTCTCTCCCCGTTTTCAATCCTGCTTCTCAACGGGAAGGGGGCCAGCCACCAAGCAGGATCAGCCCGTGCACTGGGAAAGAGCTCTAGGAAGGGCGCGCTTTCACTCATGCTTCTTGAACTATGTCAGGGAATATCTGCAGAAAAGAAGTGAAACCGGATGGTGCTATTCACAGGGAGCTCCAAGATCAGGAGAACTGGTGGTGTAAAGGCTCCAGAACAGCCTTGTGCAATTCCAACAACCGCGGACTGAGATACATTTGCACTTTCTATTTCTAATGGCATGGTAAAACAGAATCTGTAACTGGACTGCCGATTTTACTTTTCAGTGGAGTTCTGCAGAATCCTTGACCCTCCTGGAGACTGGCGTGGTGAAGGCCACTGTACAGTCCTGGGAACAGGAAGTCACTGGTGTGCGGCGTCAGAGGCGAATTCGCAATCCCAAGCTCAAGCAAGGACAAAGGCACCGTTTAGGACAAGACCAGTGAGTCAGTAAGGATCACTTTTTGTTTTTCTGTTGACATGTAAGATGATAACCCGTGCTTCCTTAAAGGCTCTTTTTTCCAGTCTTGGAACAACTGCACACAGGTTTGCTGTAAATGCTTTGGATCTGACTTCACCCTTGAATCGGATCTCTTTTAAAAGCCTATTTGACAGGTGATGTCTTAAATGAACAGGGCGTTATAAAAAAAAAAAGATTCCATCCCGGTACGCCAGAGGAACGATCCGATGGGAGGTTTAAGATCCAGGGGCTTGCACGGAGAGTAGCGAGAGCCCAAGCTGGGGTGACGCTCTGCCTGGGACGGATGAGCACAGACGCCCAGCAGGCTGCAGGACCCCAGACCCACAGAGGGAGCGCCACACCAATCACGACACACTTCTGATGTTCCCCCCGCCCTGGATATGATCCCTGTCCTTCCCTTCCCACGCCTCCACACTGCACCACCTGCGGCGCCCCCAGATTGGAGGCGGCTGGTGATGAAACAGCGAGACGTCCTGCAAGACCGGAGGCCACCAGTCCAGCGCTCCCTTCCAGAGGGAGACTGAGCCATACTTACCAAGACCAGCGGTGAGTAAACATTCATTAGAAACCCCCAAACAGCTCCCTGAAAGTAAGGGTTTTAACAGCAAACCCAAGGGCTAGTCCCCCCCATCACGATCGCCTCTTAAAAATAAAAAAATAAAAAAAAACAGCTCCTTTCCGTCTCGGGTAAAAAAAAAATCCATTCAACGTCAGGAATTCAAATGTCCTACGAAGTCTCATACTTCCTTCTCGTACTTCGGTTCAAGACAGGAATGCCAGCCTATCAGGTCCAGCCCGGTCCAGCCCGGCTCACTGCTGCTTGCAGCTCTCCTTCTTGTCTTTGGTCTTGGCGCGTGTGGCCTTGTCGCTGTGCCGCCTGGTGGGGCTGACGAAGGCGGGCTCGGAGCTGTCCTGGGGGTGGTCACAGGGGCCGCGGTGCTGGAGGGGCTCTGGAGGGGGGGAGAGGAAAGCACGTGGTTGAAGAGGGGGGCCTCCAGTGGGGAGAGAAGCTGACACTTCAGGGGAAGAGTTTGCTACGATTAAAAACAATCTGGGTAGCTCTGCAAATTCCGCAAAAAAACAAAACTCATCCAAGCCAGCCTATTGCCTTGCTATCCCTGGAGTTTTAAGGACAGATCAGGATCAACAGCTCTACTGGTAGCACAGGAAACTGCACGATCTAACCCAGAAGAAAGGAAGTCGACATGAAACATGCATTTCTGCAGTGCACACGGACAACAAATAAAAATACCGCTTAGAAGTGGGTTGCAAAAAACCCCAGGCGCCAACGAGCACACAGGTCTCAAGGAAAGACTGAATGGGCATGGCTGGTTTTGAAACAGAAGGCTGGTATCCATGGAACAGGTGAAGCCACCTAACAGTATTACATCACAGTCACGCAGCAATGCCCAGAATTGACCATGTAATCATTTTAAAAGGATTTCCACTTACAAACGGATCAAGACCATGAGGGTGGACTTTCACGTGATGGTCTAAATGGAGACGAAATGCTGCGCAACCGCTGCACAACCGCGGAACAAGTGGGAAGGAAAGCGGACCGCCAACAGGTCGACAAACAGAGCCAGAGCGGTCGCCACCGCGGTCACGACAAGGCCCAACGCAAACCAAAACGACCACCAACAAAACCGCCCCCAAAACCTCCCACAGCACCTAACAAAGCCAGGAACAAACCCCCGACCCCGCCCCCGCGCGCCTCACTCACCGGCCGGCGCGGGTGCGAGGCCCTCTGCCGCGCCCTCCTGGCACCTGGCCCTGAAAGTGGGGTCCAGCTCCTCCGCGATGTTCCTGACGGGCTGCTGCTGCCTGCGAGGGAGACCGCTCGGTCAACGTCAACACCGCCACCGCCCCTCAGGTTATATAGCGCCTTTCAGACGCGCCCCAAAGAGCTTCGATTCTACGTTTCGCAAGAAACCAGCGAAACGTGAGCAGCGCCACAAACGCCAGTTGTTGGAATGTAAACAGTAGCATTCTGTTCTAGAGGGAGAACCTAGCGTCACACAGCTGACACGCATCAGCAGTCAGCTACAAACAAGGGTGCAAGCCAAGCGCCCAGTCGGCCTAGCGGCTGGAGACAGGGCCCTTGCTATAGAACAGGTCACCAAAGGGGTGTCGTTTGGGAGGACCACCGTTTCCAGCAACTTGCGGATGACGTCAAATGAGGAAGACTGGCAAACGTAGGAGAAGCAGCCATTTAGAGATCATTCACAACCGAGAAAACACTTGGGCAATTAAAAAGGCAATGTTGGGATACCGAGTTAAGAGGGGATAACTCTAATTAAGAGAATGTTAAGTAAAATTGATGCACTACATTGCCTCATTTAGAATATTGTATACAACTGTCGTCACAATATTTAAGAAGAGCTATTGCTCAGCTACCAGATACTTGTCCGACACTAATAGGCTAAAGGAACCGAACTTTTCTAGTCTTGAACCAAGATGACTGAGGGGATCCGATACAAGTATTTAAAGTCCTTAAGGGGACTGACTCGATTAGAATGAAGAGTGAAACAGGAGCTAGAAGACAGTGGAAACTGTTTGAAGTATTTAGAACCGAGAGCAGGAGACACTTTTTACTCAAGGGGTTGTGGAGTGCAGAACAAGCTGCCCTTTGCTGGTTTGAATGAAGCTGAGCTGTGGCCATTTCAGAAAACAGAGCTGAGACTACCAGTGGAAACTTCCACAGTCATGCTTAAGGTTTGCTACTTTTAAAATTGGCCATAACAAATATGCTCCATTTTGTTTCGTTTTGACAACTAAAAGCTGATACCCAATGAGCTTACTTCCTGAGTGCAAACTGAGACAATTGTTGATGGGTCCAGTAACTCCAGTTCAAAGTGCTCAGGATCAGGACGCCAGTAATGGCTGAGATACTAAAGGAGGAGAGGACTCACGGGCTGCTGGCAGTGCTGCGCAGCTGTGGGGGAGATGCACGGCGCTCTGGTGACCAGTCCTCTCCTGGCGGCTGCGTCCCCTCCCCGTCCAGGAGCTCCCGCTGAGCCTGGGTCACGCTCACCTGCGGCGAGGGGGAGGTCAGAGGTCAGCCTGAGGTTAAAGGTTCAGTGCTATAGCTTGGATCTTTCTGCATACAGGTACAGCACACCCTTCCCTGACCACAGGGACAGCCTGTGAGGGGGGGTGGAGCGGAGCTTGGTAGTTGGAGAGTTAGGAGTTAGGAGAGTTCCCACTGAGGGAAGAACATACTTGTTTCTGTGGACACCAGTCTGCCAACACCAAAACGGCTGCAATCCAATTTTCCTTAGGTGCCTGCAAACGCAGGACTGACCAGATCCAGAAAGCTTCCGAGATCGGCCAACGCCAAGGATCAAAGGCACTTCTCATAGAAGATCTTATGGGCGCAGTCTTCTCCTGAGTGCTTTCTCTGAGATGACCTCAAGAGACCTTCCCGTTACTGCTGCTGTTTGCAGAATCACACGACAAAGCACTCCAGTAATACTGCGGCAGGCCCGACGGATTTGATCATTGAGAGCACTGCGTTTTCTTAAAAGTTTTTGGCAACAGCAGTGCACTTTATGCTTGTGCTGCTTAAGGCTATGGCAGTAGTTCCTGTGTACATATTATTGTCCAGTGCAGCCTCCCTAGATCAGGGCATTTGCTAAGGGAGTATTGAATAAATGCAGAGCGAGCTGCTCTATTCCACTGTCAGACACCAGACTGGGCACATCTCTCTGATTCCCCAGTGCCTGGTCTGCTGCCCGCCTCAGAGCAGTGCCTGGTGGGAGACCGTGGCAGTGGCACCCCCTGTGGGCAGTACCTTTCTCTCTCGGCCACGCCTCCTCTCGGGTGGGTCGCCGGGGTCTCTGTGTTCGCGCCGCAATGACCCTTGACCTTCCAAATCGCGTGACCGGCGCTGGGTCTTCATCTCCTGCTGCTGCATGAAGTGGGCGATCTCCTGAGAGAGGGAGACAGAGAGAGCACAGGGCTGGTCAACCTGGACTACTAGGTATCACAACACTAAACCACTGGTTCATTAGCACCTTAACACTCGCATGGCAGCACCCAAGATCTCTCCCACATGCAGTCCGGGTTCGATGCAAGAAACGTCATTACTTGCCATGAGAGTGGAAGGGATGATAGATATTCTAGTAAATAAGGCTCCAGAAATAAAATTGACAACGTTGAGTGCAGAAAAGGTCTTTGTGCTTCTAGACTGCCTTGGCTCAAATGTTTTATTCACATAACCAATAACTAAACTAGGAAGGGAGAACCACAGAGATTTAGGATCCAAAACGATGCATTAATACAACAGCAAAAAAAGGCCATCACTAAGGATGCTGATGAGACCAGCTATACCTGCATTCACCTGTGCAACAGTTCTTTTCAGCAACCCATGAATGAAATAGTGTTACAGTATTCATTGAATGCAGAGCTTGGGGTTTTGTCTCTATGCTTTATTGTCATTTTGGCCTTTCTATTGCCCAGTCTGAGCTGCAAGAAGCAATGTGCTAAAGGGATCTGAACGTGCAAGTGGATTCTTCTCTTTCGTCAGGGAGCAAGTGAATATCTGAAAAAGTGCAGACTTTAAAATGAACAAATGCTGTGCTCAAGCATTTTTTAGAGCTAAGACCTCATTTGGAATTGGAATATGTTCTGAATTGTCATCGCACCATAAAAAAGATAATACACCCTTAAAATGAGTTTAGCGACACCCCTTCAAACTCGTACAAAGGTGACGGGGGACTTCAGCAGAACCAGTAGCAAAAAAAGGACACAGGATCACAGGTGGAATCCACAGGTCAACTCATCTGGGATGCAGGACAGAGAACACTCAAGAACACAGAAGAGGCCACAAAACAAGAGGAGCCCATCAGGGAGCTGGTAACTTAGTGATCAGGAGATCTCACCCGGCCGTTTCTTGGAAAAAAACATCCCAGACAGGCGGCCGAGGCCCAGACTCCGGGCTCCTTGGGGGAGTGGCAGCAGCCTCAGTGTGTCTGGAGACGCAGGTGCACAGACGCAGGCCGGCGGAGCACGGCCCCGCTCCGTACTCAAGAGGACTGGAAGGTTAACGTCTTCAGAGCCATGCCAACTCCAATGGGCAGCCCGACAGGACCAAAACCAACAGCAGCTGCCCCCAAGAGCAAGAGTGACGCCCCCCCAGGGAGTCGTGCATACCTCATCCTGAGCCACCTGGGCGGCTATGAAGTCTTCCGCTGGGTCGGGGTTCTGCAAGCCGGGTGAGGCCGGAGGGCTCTGAAACAACAGCGGTCCGAGTCACAGAGGGTACACTCCGGATCTGGAGACTCACGCGCCTGAACTGCAAGTGCGTGCCCTACAGTACACTCCTCTGCACTGAAATGAAATATGAAATGGCTAGGGGGTTGTGGGTTCGAATGTGGCATGCCTGAGCAGGGTCGTCACTGTAAGCAGGAATTCTCTCTTAACTTAATCATCTGGTTGTATAAAGGACAAATAAAAATAAAAGAAAATTCCACAGAGAGCCTGGGGTTCGTGAGGCACTGACTAAAAACCTGGCTCAACAGCACAGTTCTTCTGCAGGCAGGTTCACAGATCTGTGGTGGAGGTCTGGACTGGCCTGGCCTGCTGTGACACCCGGTCAGGGAAGCTTACTAGGAACTGAATATTTCAGAATAAAGGTGCTACTATAATCGTGGTATAAATGACAGCACCTGAACGAGAAGTGCATTCAATTTCACCTGATGTGCTTCAGAGTTATTTCTGTGTCTTTTGAGAACATGCATAAAGAACAACACAGTGAACAGCACATACGTGTATTGTGAAACTTAATCTGGTGGTATCTATAATATTTAAATAACATAATGATATATAATGGTCAAATTAAACTGTTTATCTGCTTGTAGCTTACTTTGAACAAATGCTATGGGACGACTGCATGTGGGTAATTGAACAGTAGCAACAGAACTGTCCAGTGAGAGACTGACATAAACCTTGAACTGAAAGAGTTAGAACTTCTTGAACCAAAACAGGCCGTGCTCAGGGTGAAAAAAACCCTTTCTGATACGGGATTCTGTCCCGGGTCGGGGTGTGGGTCAGCACTGTCCTACACGGGCTGCAGTGGGACTGTGTCCTGGGTCGGGGTGTGGGTCAGCGCTGTCCTATACGGGCTGTAGACAGGTGCTGTCCCGGGTCGGGGTGTGGATCAGCGCTGTCCTATACGGGCTGTGGACAGGTTCTGTCCCGGGTCGGGGTGTGGGTCAGCGCTGTCCTGTATGGGCTGTGGACAGGTTCTGTCCCGGGTCGGGGTGGGGGTCAGCGCTGTCCTATATGGGCTGCAGTGGGACTCTGTCCTGGGTCGGGGTGTGGGTCAGCACTGTCCTATACAGGCTGTAGACAGGTACTGTCCCGGGTCGGGGTGTGGGTCAGCGCTGTCCTATACGGGCTGTGGACAGGTACTGTCCCGGGTCGGGGTGTGGGTCGGCGCTGTCCTGTACGGGCTGTGGACAGGTGCTGTCCCGGGTCGGGGTGTGGGTCGGCGCTGTCCTGTACGGGCTGTGGACAGGTGCTGTCCCGGGTCGGGGTGTGGGTCGGCGCTCGGGACAGTACCACTCTCAGGAGCAGCTCCTCCTCGTCCTGCAGCCGGCGGGCCAGCTCCTCGTCCTGCAGCACCTGCTCCAGCGCCCCCAGCTCCAGCGCCGCCACCTCCTGGCACAGGTCGGCCCCTAGGAGACAGCACAGTCCTGAGCCAGCTCCGGCCCGCCTGGCACGGCCGGGAACAGGCCGAGAGGGAGGACAGGGAAGCCAAGCCCCCAAAGGAAAGCGACGCAGCACCCCGATCTTCCAACATCCGCTGGCCAGCCCAGAATTTACACCTCCGTTTCTTTGGGAAGAACAATTGATTTGGGAATTTCCCCAAAGATGCGCAGGAGAAAGAGTTCCCTTTTCTTCTCTTTGTTTGGCAAACCAGCAAAGCAGTAAAAGCAGTAAAAAAAAAATCACAGCACTCGTTCTGAGATTATGGGTTGCATCTATCAAGGTCCTTCCCCCAGGTGACTATTTAACAGCAACGCGTGTCAAGCTGGACAGACACTTCCGCTGACCAAGGACTGATGGGTCAGCTCATCTGGCCACGGAGACCCACTACCCTATGAGTTTTATACACTGCCTTAGAAGGTCAGTAAGCAGAGATCTGAAGATCTGTTAACGCCTCATAATTAAGCGATTGACCGATCCAATTAAGTCAATTGGTGCTGAGTCAGAACGAAAAGCAGAAGACACTGCGGCTCTCCAGAACCAGAGATACTGACCCCTGATCTAACCCCACTGGGTGTGCGAACTGCCGTCAACCACAACCTGAAGGGAGGCCCCGGCAGATGAAAGCCACAGTCCAGAGAGAAGAAAGACAGGAAGTGTTCCACTCCTCCACCCCTGGATATTTCACAATCACATCACACCGTATGTAGATCGTACAG